TGTGATTGATGGGATTGGACATAGCTTGGATTTAACCGAGTATGACATTGAACCGGCGAGGATGACTCTTCACCGGTTTGGTAATACATCGGCGAGTAGTTTGTGGTATGTGTTGGCCTACATGGAGGCCAAGAAGAGACTAAAGAGAGGAGATAGAGTGTTTATGATAAGCTTTGGAGCTGGTTTCAAGTGTAATAGCTGCGTTTGGGAAGTTGTGAGAGATCTCAGCGTTGGGGAATCAAAAGGGAATGTGTGGAATCATTGCATTGATGATTATCCGCCTAAATCGATTACGAATCCTTATTTGGAGTTGTTTGGTTGGATTGAAGATGAAGAGGCTGAGACTTTCAAGGTCCCTGACGCTCTCATGATGTAAAACGTTTCCGCACAAAAACGCAAACGCAAAAACAACACAAGGTGACATATTCTCTTCTTTTTTTTTCTCCTTTACCCCTTAGTTAAAACTTTACGTGTTTTATTTTTTAAAAGAATCAGATTGGAAAGAAGATATGAATGTAAAAGAAACCACGATTTAGTTTTGCTTTTTCTAAATTTTTTTGGTGTTATAATTTGTTAATTCCATACTGTTCAATAATTTAGGGCATGCACTTCCAATACGATGATAATTTTTACTAATTCTCCATCATACTGGAATGCTGCCCTCTTTTTCTTATGTTAAATGTTGTATCATTATATTTTTTTTTATTACAACTTTGTTTTGTACTATTGTTTCTCGCATTTACTCAAATTTGTCAAGGTACATATCCATGCTACTCCTCTTTTTGCGTGATTACAAAAATTTCAATTGTTTTGTTTGAAAAATTTTATACTAAAAACCAAATTTATAGATTCGAGAACTATACTTTTTTTTTTATTGAAGTATAAAAAGTTGGTAAATGAACAGTCTGCAGTGGACTTCTGATTTATGATGTTCAGATACTGAACATGTCTTAATCTGCATTTGGTTGTTTATTAAAATCACATTTACATTACATACGACATTATTAGTTTACTTTGCTATTTCTGTCCTTGGAACAAATTTTCGTGTCAACATTTTTTTAAGAAAAGAATTATAGAATTATTGCACGAAAATAAATTGAAAAAGAGTTTGTTTGGTAGACAAACATTCAATGAGCATTTCATTTCACCACCAGATTCCGGGCCCCATTTTTCTCCATGAAAAATGACGAAACCGCAATTATTAATATTAGTGGAGTATTTGATTAGGTACGCATAATAAAGTTTACCCATGCCTCCCGACAAAAAAGATAAAGTTAGCAAATGACTCAACTAGGACCGGTTAAGTTGGTTCTAGTAAATGCGATCACTAAACATCATTTATCTCAGATTATGCCATAACTTTCATTCAAAGAATTTTATTTTGTTATAATTTGTAAGGGCATCTTTAAAACAAAATAAAAGACAACTCATACTCTATCAGGAAACTTGGTTCTGCTACATACTTGATGGACCAAGCATCTCTGTTCTCTGTAACGCATTCAATATAATTATAGTAGTTTCTATTACAAAAAAAAACGAGAGAAACAATAATTTGAATCTAACCCATAACTGATTTAAATGGTAAAAGTAAAATAAACACAATGCTTCCAACGAGAAATGAATTCCAGGGGAGTAAATTAGTAGAAATTTTGACGATACAAAGAAATAGTAGAATAGAATAACTAAATTGTTAATCATTTTCAGAGAAACAAATTCATCGGAATATGTTTTTAATGGTAGTACTCTATATCATGTTTTTTTTAATCATATTCCAAATTTGGTTGTTTGTATGATTGCAAATTTGGTTATTTGATGTTCATATCTCTATATATATATATATATATTGCTTACCTCTTGTTTGTGATAAGATTATATGGGGTTTGTCAGTATTTTCTGTGATGAGAGTTATTCATATTGATGAGTGAGTTTTCTAAAATGATACAACAAGTTGGTGGGATGAAACTGTTAATATAAGTATTGATTTGTAGATTAGAGTCATTAGACCGTAATAATAACTGAGAAAATCAAATAAGGAAAAAACTAAAAAAAGGTAATAAATAGGGACAGGTAAGTGACAGTAGAAAGAAAGCGGTCCAAATCTGAAATTAAACAACTTTTGCCACTCTTTCTTTTAATATGCCACTCTAGATAGATGGACATTTAATTTCTCCATCTCACATGTGGCAGTTTTAGATGCCGTTGATCTCTTAAATTCTATTGTCAATAAATTTGGGATTTGTGTATGTATTATTGTGACGATTCTTTTTCTCTTTGGTTGAATAAATCCAACAGAAGACGATCGTGTTAAATCATAAATTTACTGCCTGATTTCGTAATATTCAAATCAAATTTACCACTGAATCATTCACCTTTCCTTTTCTAGATACATACATTTTGAGTAAAAGGATTTTTTTTCAGAGTTCATATTTCTTTTAGCTAATTTCTCCCTGATAATAATAAAAAAAAAAACCTATTATTTGTTGGGGGAAAAATACATGCTTCTATTTCCATGGATAAAACGAGGATGATGTTTTTCTACTAAAAGTTGAGAAAAAGGAGCGTTTCTTTTCAAGCTTCTCTCGTAATGGTCCAGTGGAGAACCAAATTTCCTACATTTGAAATAAAATTTTAGTTAACGAATTAAATGGATGAAAGATTGACGTAACACTTATTTTAATTTTCTTTCGTACGCACTTGTTGTAGCTAGAGGTTTTCAAATTCTTGTTTCCAAATTAGCAAAAACAGCAACATACATCCAATAATATCAAATTCTTGTTTTATATAGTTATAGTACCACTTCTTAAGCTTCAATTAGATAAAATGCTTAAGCATATATGAAGCCATAATTGTTACATTGTCTTTCTTAATCCCAATCCCCAAATGAACATTTCAAGAGAGTAGCATTATTCTCTGACCATTATTACAAAACAAGCCATATTATAGTCCAGATCAACGCGTTAAGAGCATGAGCTCTTGTTTGTTTTAACTTTTAACCAATTTACGCTAGGGATATTCTTTTATTGTTCAAGGAGGGATATTCCTTTTGAATTATAGGTTCCTTTTTTTATCTCATAAGTCATAACTCATGTACGATCAATTTCTTGACCAAAATTAGAAAGCTTTTTTTTACCGAAATTTTACTATCGATCTATTGCATCATTGACTTCTTTTACGTACGGACACGGTTACCATAAATTCGATCTCCTTTAGATTCGGCTGTAACTACTACAGTTCCTTTTTGTTTATCAGGTTATTCATGTTACTACTAGCATTTTCTTCACCAACCACATATTTTCTTAGCTCGATTCACTTTTCGGGGGTTTATTTTGACATGCTCAAGTATGAGTTTAAAATATCTATAATTAGTACATGAAATGTAGGAAAATAAGTGAATCTGTCTAAGTATAAAATTTCAAAAAAAAGCATGGCTAATTTAGTTCAGTTGGCCCTTTCTTTCCCCTAATTCAATGGAAATATGTATTATATTTAACGTGCATTGCATAATTTATTAGGAATGTTGACAGAAAAAAAACATATTTGCTACAGAAAAACAAAAACAAAAATCTTTGCAAGTAAAAGAGACAATGTTTTTACTGATATTGAGTCATGATGTCTATTACCTCTTTTTAATAGTTTCTTATATTTGCATACCATTCGTTTGAAGTCATGTTCAAGAAATATGTTATCATTAATCTTGGTTTAAACCATTTCCCATATTATCAATTTCTCGTAGTTCTCACGTCTGCCAGCCACAAGCTCTAGCTGCCGACTGAGGCTACCACCTCCGGGAAAAGGATTAGAAGCTGTCCGTCCACCTCACTTACCCAAACCTCGCAAGATGTCAATTTTTTTCTTATCGTACGTGGAGCCACCCTATAGATTATGCAAGCAATATTACTACATATTAGCCACCCTCTAAGGTTATTGAGTGAGCATCGACAATTGATATCTTTGCATATGTTCTAGAGGATTCCATGTGGTCATTTTATTGACATTGTTCCTCATTTGGGGAAGATTCATCAAGACATCTACAGGATATTCTCTCAAACAATTTCGAAAGATGGTTGATATTTGATAATCTCGCTTGCAAAGTTCCTAAGAAAGGAGCTCCACGATGAATTTTTCTTGGCTGGAGAGGTTTGTGTATAAGTAAGGAAGGTTGGAAGTTGGACGGTTAGTGTCTGTTCCTTTTACCAATTAAAGGCGGTGACCCGTTGGTAGATGGAGCCCAAGACTATATAGACGTCGAAGATACCCAAAAACAAAATAAAATAAGGAGATGGGAAGTCGCAAAACGGCTAAGGTTTTGACAAACTATCTTGAACATGACTGAGAATGAGTGATATGAGATCATAAGAAACCATGAAAAAGGTAGAGCAGACATCAAGACTTAGGATTATTATTTTTTTTTAATATTATATTAATTATTAATCCTCATTGAGAACTGGGTGTGGTTACAAAAATGAAATTGGATAAAAGATATAAAAAAAAAACCCGGTCAAGGATAAGGTTTGTCTCTTTTACAGAAATTTTGTCTCTTTAACTTAGAAAAACATAATGATTAGATAAATATTAATGCAATATCTATTTATCATATGATGCAAAACCAGGTAGGGGATGGGTTTGTTTCTCACAATGCCCCAATAGTGGTCCATCATTTTCAAAGCAAATCAATACTTTGCCACTACCTTACACAAACTAGACTTTGTTGCAAAAGAAAGAACCAAGATTCCAAAATTAAATTGTGTACGTCTAGTTGTGAGTCTCTTTTCTTGATAGTTAACTTTTTCGGAGTTTACATTGTATACTAAAAACGCTATCATTTATTTTTTATCTAGTTCAATAATACTTACCATTTAAGAAAGAAAAAAAAAAAAAAAAAGAACCAAGATTAGTACAAGATTTAGTCTTTGAAACACATTTTCAAAACATTAGATTGCAACATGGCCTCAAAAGATTGAATTAAGTAGTAACGAGTCTAACCTTATACAACGGCGATGTCACATTAAGCCGAAGATAAACTGCAAGAGAGGTAGTAGAAAGTCTAACAAAGGCAGCCACAACATCTCTGCAGAATCCACTGGAATCTGCAAGAAACTAAGAAATTAAAATCCTTAAGAACGAAACTACATTTGCACAATTCATAGGAAGAGAGAGAGAGAAAGAGAGAGAAGCTTTACACATGTTGGAGACAAGAACATGGTCTATCTCTGGACAAGATGAGGAAACTGTTGTTATGGTCCAACGAGAAAGCAGAGGAGAGATTGTTTTCAAGAACACGACTCCTGTTGCTTGAACCTTCAGGAGAAAACGGTTGAGACAGAGAAGGAGAGGAAGAGATGTCGTATTGTTCATAATCAACTCCGTAGCTCACTGGTAGAGAAGTAGAAGAAGACGACTTAGATGATGAATCAAGTCTCTCATCTTCCTTCATTTTCCCATTGATCTTCTCTTCCTCTATCTTCTCTGTTATTGAATCTTTGTCTCCCAGGAAAAAAATAAAATAAAACTTAGGTGTTAAACCTAACGGTCATCATCTAACTGCTACAGCCCCCATCTACTTTTTTTTTTTCTTTTCCTTTTTTGATTTTTCCCTTAATTTCCTTTCTTTTATTCATCTTCTTCCGTGATAATGATACCATTTACAAAAGCAGGATGAATGAAAGAAAGTAAGTTAATTAATGCTTTAAGTTTTATGTAGAGAGAAAGGATATCATTTATAATATTTTATGTATAATTAAAAAATTGAGTCTAGTATATGAACCCTAAATGGGACTCTCCATATGAATGACACATCAGCCTTTGGAAAAGAAAATACATGTTGAAATAATCAAACTTTTTTTTTCATTAATAATTAAGTATTCATTCTCTCAGCGGAAGTCTTCAAACAATAAAATAAATAAATAAATAACTCAAATCTATTCAATAAATAATTCAATGATTAAAAACTAGTTACCTAAACACCAAATTCTAACAACTTAAACAAAAGCAAACAATCATATCATTCTCTTTATCGATCTTGATTCCGCGATCACACAGTTCTTTTAATTACATCACAATACCAAAGAGATGCATACATGTTTCAGAAATACTTAGTTAGACGATCACCCCGCCTACAGGCGAGTTACACAATTACTAGACATTATAAAAATTCACAACAATAATCACATTCACGATCAACAATACAGAAAACAGCTCTTGTGTCAAACGACACCTCCATGGTGTCAGTAGACACCCCTCCCTTGTGTTGACCGACACCAAAGTGGTGTTGCTCGACATTAAGTCGATGTGTCGTCTGACACCAACTCGCATACACAAAACCAAACTCGACGAAAACGTGCAGAAACACAAAATAAAAAGGGTTTCAAGACTCATTATCACCATTAAACATTAAATCAACATGAACTCATCAAGAACACAAACAATCAAATGAAAATCTAGTGAATCACGAGCCTACATTAACGCACTCACCTTGAAACAGATTGAAACAAAGAGGAATGAGATAAACGACGAAGAACATCAACAACTGAAACTACCGACACTTTAAAAAAAAAAATACTAAACAATTCTAGTGGAAATATTTAAAATAAATAATTATTAGATAATAAATAATATCAAATAACAATATCAATTCAGTAGAAGCAAAAACAATTAAATAAAATTAGCAAGTTAAACATGTTCAAATGAAATAAAGCAAAGATATAAAAATCCTATCGTCCCCTCTTCAGCCTTAATTCTGCGATCACATAAACCATTTACCTGCAACACATTGCGATAAAGTTGCATAAGTATTTCATAAACCAATTAAATTGAATTTTACTTAATTTGAATCAGAAATCAATTTCCAATTGAACCAGACTGATCCGGCTGCGTCAGTCGACACATACCACTTTGCCTGGGCTGGGCTGGGGATGTTACAACAACGACTTCGGATGGGCTGCGGATGTTACAACAACGACTTCGATCTAACCCAAAAAGTCTGAAATATATCCAAAACAATATTAAATTTACAGAAAAACAATAAAACTTTGCGCAGGTCATATTTAAGTAATACTGTATGTGCAAAGATTACTTACAAATTATTAGAGTTAAACAAAGATTTTGTACCGTTTTGTTCCATCTCGTTCCATGTTGTTCATTTTCATCATGTATGTTCTTTCTCGTCCCGTCCGTCCTGTATATCCCATCCCGTCCAATCCCCTCATATCCCATTATATTTCTTTCTGTTTTGTTATGGGACTTTACTATCCCGTTCGTTCTGTTCGTCTCATCCAGTCTCATCCTATCCTATTTTGTTCCTTTTCATATTGTTTTGTCTTCGTCTCGTCTCTAAATATAATTAAGGGTAGGAAAAATTCATGTCCCATTATGTCCATTTTCATTTCTTCTCGTCCAATCTCATCATATTCTGTTTCTTTTCATTTCGTCTCGTCCAATATTTCCGTCTTGTCCTGTCAAATCATGTTTTTTTCATTTTTTCCGTTCCACCCCTAAATATAATTACAGGTAGGCGAAATTCCCGTATTGTCATATCATGTTCTTTATGTTTCCTTTAGATCTTGTCTCGTCACTTATTATAATAAGAAGTAAGCAAAATTACCTTCTTTCTACGTATCTATTTTTTTCCGGCTTGTTATGTTTGACCTCGTTTCATTTCATCCCAAAATCCTTAAAAAAATCAGTGTTCTTTCTATAATATATTTTTATTATTATTATTACTAAACAATAGTTTTGTATATCTATATATAACATTTTTGTTTTTTTTAAATGACTTTTCATATTCTTATTTAAGATATTATAGTAATAAATGAAAATTATTATGAAAATTAAAAAATAAAAAATAAATAGATTAGTATGTTGATGTGTCATAATATTAAAGTTCTTCTCTGCTGACATAACATCATCATAGATTTGCACCAACTTTTTATATATAGATATTCAAAAATTAAATATGTTATTGATGTGTGTGCACAAACTTTATATATGTTATGAAATAGAAGATGTAGTATTCAAATATTTTAAAACAAAACTTAATGGTAAACCTAAAACAAAATATTCCCTCCCTTTCATATTAAGTGTCACTTTAACTCTTAAAATTCCATATATAATATTAATCTTGTTTGACTCTTAATATTAATATTAATCTTATATGATAATCATCCCATTAATTAACCGTTTCATAGCCTAACTGATTTTTCCCATTAATCATGGGTTCGATTCCTACCGTGTAATCTTGCATTCGCAGTTTTCATTGGACAAGTCAAAATAATACTATACTTTTGAGGGAGCTATTTTGCTGCTTATCTATTGGTAATAAAAGTCTGCATCACCCCTTCAACTATATAAAAATCAAAAATACAAAGTCTTCTCCAATAAGTCACAAAGGTAATGTTTTAAAATAAGGTACCGTTCATATATCTTTTTCGGTGATTGATTCAAGTTCTTCTACATTGGAAATATAATAGTAGAAACCTTTCTTTTCTTTTGACGGGGTTAATTCGAAGTGCTTAAAACAAGTTCTCAACAATCTATTACTAATAAAAATTGAGTCTATATGCATTAGAGGGTGTCCAACTAGAACTCTAAAACTGTATTTGATTGAACCATGTCATTATTATTACTTTTTTTTAATTGAATAATTAATTTTCTAATTAATTTCCTTTTTATTCTTATTAGCAAATTTCCCTTTTATACATATTAGCAAATTTCCTTTTTTTTTAATATCCATATATTTTCTTTTATTCTAATAAGTATTATAACTTTAACATATAACTTTAGTAAATTTCCTATTTTATAAATATTTTATTAATTATATTTTAATAATTTTAATTTTTATATAGATTATCTAATAAGAAATGACATTAGAAGTTGTCTTTTAGTGGAAAATTGATTAAGAAGTTCATGCTATATTACTATATATTATGACACATTCAACCATTCATTTTAATAAAATCTGAGAATTAAACATTTCTATTAACTAGTTTTTCATGGCAAATACACTAAGTAATTAGACAAATAATTTTTTTTTTTAACAACAAGGTGTTGTGGTGTAGCAAAAGGAAAATAAGAAATTTAATTTGATCGGTACACATAAGCATCTTAAAAGAATTTCATTTTATTTGTTATTATGATATTTCCTTAATACTCAATTCTATTTTTATTCATATTAAAGTGTTTAGAAAATAGAAAAAAAAATTCTAATGACATAAAAAGGAAAATTACTTCCTATATTTAAAAAAAAAATTGTCTAATGGATGTTTGGAAATTATTAGAAAGATTTGGGGTTGAGAGGATTTGGTATAAGTCGTGACCTTCAAAGACATGCAATCTCTAAAATTCTGAAACAAAATGTTTGGTAATGTGCATATAATTAAAGCAAATGAGAGATATGGTGATCCGGGTCGGCCTGAGATTCTTGGTGGCCTCAAATTTTAAAATATATTATTTTTTCAGTAGATTTATTTAATAGTTAAATAAAAATAATGATATATTGAACAGTCTATCGCTGAGAAGTTTCAAACCATCCACATTGAGAAGAATGAAAAGCAACAGTGCATGTAAGCTAAATGAACATTTAGTAACATGTGGCATTAAAGTTTTATACTCCCTGTGTTTCATAATATAACGGGTTTTAAAGTTTTTTTTTGTTTCATAGTATAAGGTGTTTTGAGGTTTCTATGCAAAATTAAATATACTTTAGTTGCTTTTTATTCTTTTAATGATGCAAATTGTTTTTTCATTGGTTGATTTGTATTGGAATTAATGATAAAATGTACTCTATTTTGAAAGCTTAAAAAATTAAATGAGTTCTTAATCTTTGTGTCAAACCCTAAAACCCCTTATAAAATGAAACAAAGGGAGTATATCTTTTGGTGGCGTAAATCCTATGTTTACCAGTTTTATGTAGGGCCAAAGGTAATAATATTGATGTAGGATTTATGAATTCGACGAAATTGATTTTCAAGTGAAATTTAATTTTAAATTTTTGAGAAACACTGGCAAAAGAGTCGCATTTATGAATATTCATATTTGCATTTCAAATGTGAAGGTAGTGAGTTTATAATTTCACAGTAATAACTAATAACTAAACCCATAATGTGACACAACTAATTCTTAACCAAAAATGGAGATTTAGTTATATATAATTAGAAAATAAAATTATTAAAAATAAAAATAAAAATTGTAAAGGATTTGTATCAACGATTTTTTAAAAAAAATGAAAATTAGAAAATTCATAAAAAAAATTAAAGAAAACATAAAAACGGAATCGCGCGTAGCGCGGATAAAATACCTAGTTAATCAGAAAACTTGAATCGATAGGATACTGATTTTTTTTTTTTTTTTTTTTTGGTCGAAGGATACTGAGTTAAAAATAGTGAAATTGTAACAAATAACAATAAAAAAATGGATATTAACAAAGTAGCCATAAGAGGGGATTGGCTAGAGTACACGTTGTATTAATTACAATATTCCCCAAAATAACCTTCTTGCATTTCACTGAGTAGATTACCGTCGGCTTCAGATAAGCCGATAAACTTTTACTGTAAATTGGGGAAAATTTATAATCCAAATACAATTTTGAGAGTTACTGCGATCTCGGATACTTATAATCAGATTGAAGGATACTTATAATCACTGATTTAAAGCTTCGGTGGCGCTGCTTGGCCGGTAGTTTCACTTTCTCTTCTTGAAATAACAAATGATTGGAGATTTTACCTAATATCTGGAATTTTGAATGCAGAGTCGTGATTTGAGGATCGAAGAGAGGGGGTCATTGGGAAATCTGGATTTAGGTTGTAAATTTTAGTCCCGACGATTTAACATTGTATGTGTTCAATGGCGGAGTTTGGTTGTGGTTACTAATCAATGTTCATGTTGCAGCTGCAAATATTGCGACACCAGCTCTTATTTCTCCTTGAGGCGAAGAACACATCAGTGTAAGTAAGAAACTTTTTTCTTTTACAGTCTTTGCTGCTCTCTTTCATGTGCCTATTATGTGTCATGTTTATCGTTTTGGTTAAAGTGCTATCTTTTGGAAAACATTTTTTTTGTACCATCTTGTCAGTTGTCACTTAGCCTAGCAACCATAGTTCAATATTGTTTGCAGTCTTCCCATTCCATACTATTTGTCTTCCATAGTATATTCACCCCTTAGTTGGATAAGTGGTTATTTTAGTTCTTTGAAACATACAAGGTCTGAATATGTTGAAACAGAAAAGGTCGATCATCTGTTCTTTTTTTACCTAAATGGAAAGATATTTGCTTAATTTTGGAATGAGGTGTTACATATTTGATCTTATCCGTCGATGGTGATTTTCTCATATTCAATGTATTTCAGCAGAAAGTGAGTAAATCAATGTAAACTACCTGTCAAGTGTTAGAGCAGAAATTAGCACAATTTCCCTGAGCCCGTCACAATTAATAATACTATGTAAGCCCGGCCCGCTTCCACTTCCACCTCCTCAAAGAAAAGGAAGTACTTGGAGAAAAAGACTACATCCAAGAAAAATAGAAGGAGATCAACGCCAAAGAAGAATATTTCCAAAAGAAATATGGAAGAATATCTTGAGGAAGCCAACCTCCTCTCCATATAAATAGAAGACCCCCTATTCCTTGAAGACCATTCAGAATCATTCATAATCACCCACAATCACTGAGAGCAAAGAGGCAAAACCCTAGTTATAATTCGTCCTTTGTTCTTAGCTTCTCTATTCTTTTCGTATTCGTCTCGTCAAGTCTTATCGTCGAGACGAATCACCCCTTGTATCATCTTTGTCTTTGGTTGATCTAATAAAGAGTCTCTCCTAAACCTCACATCTCTTATCTTACTATTATTGTGTGATTTTGAGATCAACAATTGGCGCCCACCGTGGGGCTGGAGAAAAAACTCTGAAAAAAGTCAATCAAGGTTCAAAGATGGCACCTCCAGCTGATGATCCCAGCATCAGAACAGGCGGACTGCAAAGTCAACTCGGCGCAGATGGAAACCCCATCGTCCATCCCGTCGAAGTCGACGCGACCAACGGTCACGTCAACCCTCCGCCGCCACCGGTTCCTGACGTAGAAGCTCCCGTCACGACCGCCGCGTTAACCGCCGCCATGCAAGGCTTTGCTGCTCAAATTGCTTCTCAATTCGCCGAGATGCAAGCTCAGCAGCAAAAGTACAACGACAAGATCGACTCCCTCCACGTCACCAGCGACGGACGAGTCATCCCGACGGGACGAACTCTCTTCCAGACGCCGACAAGAAGCACCGCCGCGACTGGCTCCAATGCCGCGACGAATGGTGAGAAAGACACCGACCCGGAAGTGGCCAAGCTGCGCCGCGACCTCGACGCAATCAGCTCCAAAGTGCACGACGCTATCAGCTCGTCACCCGAGATTGCCAAAATCCTCGCCGAGACGAAAAGGAGTCCTTTCACTCGTCGCATCGCCGCGATACCTCTAAAGGATCAAACGGCTCTCCGTCTTCAGTTCTACAACAATGGTGACGATCCTCGAAACTGGCTAAGAAACTTCGAGATGGCCATGAGAAGGCAAAATATGCCTCCCCCGAAGAACAAGACGCAAATTACTGTCAAGTGTTCATCGAGCACATGAACAAAGACGCGACGAGCTGGTTTTCGAACCTTCCCTGCCGAGACCATCGACAACTTTGATGATCTCAGCACGGCATTCATGAAACACTTTGGCATGTTTATGTCAAAAGGCAGCACCAATCTTTTCACTATGGCACAGGGAAAAGATGAGTCTCTTCGCAAGTTCGTCGAGAGATTCAAAACAGCAGCAGCTGAGCACTCAGACATCCCCAATGAGATGGGAATCAAGGCTTTCGAAAACGGGCTTTGGTTCGAATCAAAGTTGAAAGAGAGTCTGATGCTCGACGAACCCGCAACCCTCCAGGACGCTTTGCACAGGTCCCAAAAATACGTCTGCGTTGAAGAAAGCAAGGCGCACCACTCAAAGATTCATGGAATGACGAAGGAGTCATCTCGGCACGCATCATCTCGTCAAGATTCATCTCATCAAGAGAATAAAAGGAGGCCTCTAAGGAGTCTTTACACAGGGCAGCGACGAGTCCAAATGGTGCAAACTCCATGGACGAACCGATCATACTACAGAAGAATGTAGGCGCATCAACAGCATGATACTAGAGTACAATACTCCGCAAAGCCACAATGATGCTGAACGCCGCGACGAAAATCGACGAGCTGCAAACCAGCGCCAAAGTAGAAATACGCGCGCCAAGATCGAGACGACGACGCCGAGAAGAACGCGCCTGCATCACTCCCTCACCAAGATGATCTGCCTCCGCCGCCGAAACGGCAAGTCCGATAAACATCTCGGCATCAAACCGGTCTCAAGCACGAGACCGAGAAAACGAACTACGAATGGCTTGATCCCGGCATGGGTACGTAGGCAGCCTTTCCAAAGGTTCAGCTATACCCCCAATAAAATTCTATAATCCGTCTGACGAGATGAGCATTGTAAAATTTTATTCACCTCCAAAGGGCACACGTCGACGTTCTGGCCAAACCTCTCGACAACACCGATCTCGTCATCACACGAGATCGAGCGGTCTCGTCATCACACGAGCCCGAGAAAACACCGATCTTGTCATCCAAGATCGAGCGGTCTCGTCATCACACGAGCCCGATAAAACCGGTCTCGCCAAAGCGCAATCCGAGAAAAACATACGGACTGATCATCCATGAGGAGTAAGCCGACGCGAAGCCGTCGCGTCCGAACCGATGGGAATGCCTTCAGACTTTGGGGTGAGCCCGAAAGGTCTGAGGTCTGAAGGACGAAATCGAGCGGTCTCGTCATCACACGAGCCCGATAAGACACCGATCTCGTCATCATATACGAAATCGAGCGGTCTCGTCATCACACGAGCCCGATAAGACACCGATCTCGTCATCATATACGAAATCGAGCGGTCTCGTCATCACACGAGCCCGATAAGACACCGATCTCGTCATCATATACGAAATCGAGCGGTCTCGTCATCACACGAGCCCGAGAAGACACCGATCTCGTCATCATATACGAAATCGAGCGGTCTCATCATCACACGAGCCCGATAAAACCAATCTCGTCGAAGCTCGAATCCGAGAAAAATCGTCACAGCAATCTATTCTCCTTGACGAGACAAAAGAGTCATCTCGTCAAGTCCGAGAGAAATTATCAAAAGCACATTCTATTTGCGGACAAGATTACGTCACTGTACTCTTTTCCCTTCTTATGGTTTTTATCCCATAGGGTTTTTCCATATCAAGGTTTTAACGAGGCAGTGCGGATCTAAAGTCAATAACGCAACGCAGCATCACGTCAGCGCAGCATCGCGACAGCATCGGCATCGCGTCGGCATCACATAGTTATTATTAATTGCTCTTGAGCTCCTCTTTTATACATGAAGTTCGCCGAGATTAAATTGCATTTATCTCGCCAAACTGGGGGGGACTTATTGTTAGAGCAGAAATTAGCACAATTTCCCTGAGCCCGTCACAATTAATAATACTATGTAAGCCCGGCCCGCTTCCACTTCCACCTCCTCAAAGAAAAGGAAGTACTTGGAGAAAAAGACTACATCCAAGAAAAATAGAAGGAGATCAACGCCAAAGAAGAATATTTCCAAAAGAAATATGGAAGAATATCTTGAGGAAGCCAACCTCCTCTCCATATAAATAGAAGACCCCCTATTCCTTGAAGACCATTCAGAATCATTCATAATCACCCACAATCACTGAGAGCAAAGAGGCAAAACCCTAGTTATAATTCGTCCTTTGTTCTTAGCTTCTCTATTCTTTTCGTATTCGTCTCGTCAAGTCTTTCGTCGAGACGAATCACCCCTTGTATCATCTTTGTCTTTGGTTGATTTAATAAAGAGTCTCTCCTAAACCTCACATCTCTTATCTTACTATTATTGTGTGATTTTGAGATTCAACATCAAGCCTTTGCAGCTGTTTCTTACTTTACTATGGGAGATGCTCAATCATCTAAGGTGTAACACATGGGAGGTGTTAATGGCTGTATGTGTACGAACACTCAATAGTGCCTAACACTTCTGCGGTGTACAGTTTCTCTAATTCGTTGTAGGACTTTCTCAATAGTGAATTTATATAGCTTGTTTTCTGTAAAATTTGCATGTACCATGACTATCATGTACTATCTCGGGAATAAACGATATTGCACTATACAAATATGTAGTATACCAGTATTTGTAATGTATAAGTTCTATCGCTGCTACGGCTTTGTACTATTTTACTATTGCGATGCATTTTTTTTTATTTCTTTTTCTACAACGAATATGGTGTAGAATACATGCTTTTACCATTCATATCCACAAAATTAATACGAAGGATTTTCATTGTTTGCATTACTTTAATCAAATAAGTTTTAGGATAGTTATGTGATAGTTTAGCTCGGCTTCGTGGACGGCTTCCGCTTGATACTATGACTGTATGACATCAGCAGCAATTACCCATTGTATTAGGGTTTTTATAGACTTTTCCCAGCGCGTGTGTTTCCCCTATCTAATTTCGAAACCCATATGGCTATAAGCTTCATTTTGGAGTCCAATATGGCTAGTAGCCCTAATTCACCCTTAAAAAAAATACTAGAAGAATTTATTACTTTACAATGTAATGTGTCTTTACAAAAAAAATAATAATAATATAAAACCACAAGAAAGCATGAGTTTTGAAGCACTTCGGTAGAATCTTAGCCGGTGTGGCGATTTTAGTTTTGGTTTATCTTAATATTAATTTTATGAGAATAATTATATTTAAAAAGATACACCAAAAACATATAAAACATTATAAATTAATGTGAAGACCCAGCAAAACTAAAATCAAACATTATAACACTGTTCCTTAAAGAAACATTCAAAGCTTATTAAACATTATTCTACCAAAGACATATTCTCTAGTTTTTCTTTGGACAAATGCTCAGCCTAAATTGACTTATTAAACATTATAACACTATTCCTTAAAGAAACATTCAAAAGCTTCCATAGACAAGCATAATAGTTGTGATAATAGTTGTGGTACTGAGTGCTATATGTAGCATCTTTTCAATCACAATTTACTCAAAAATAATTTGCCTGAATAGTAGAATCATACTGACAAAACAGAGACAAGAAACAACGCACAAGTTCAACCGACATGGCCAGTCCTAAGAATTGGTCATCTTGGCTTATGTTGGTCTTGGCCTTGTATGCCATTTCTGCTCATACAAGTGCCCAATACACATCTACTCCACCATCACCACCACCGTATGTTTATAGTTCTCCTCCGTATGTTTACAAATCTCCCCCTCCTCCTCCATACGTCTACAGTTCTCCACCACCTCCTCCATATGTCTATAGCTCCCCCCCACCACCTCCTTACGTCTACAAGTCGCCACCACCTCCACCTTACGTCTATAGCTCTCCACCACCACCTCCCTATGTTTACAAATCCCCACCACCTCCTCCATATGTCTATAGCTCCCCACCACCTCCTCCTTACGTCTATAACTCTCCACCACCACCTCCCTATGTTTACAAATCGCCACCACCTCCACCTTATGTCTACAGCTCCCCACCTCCTCCTCCATATGTTTACAAATCGCCGCCACCTCCTCCTTACGTCTTCAACTCTCCACCACCACCTCCCTATGTTTACAAATCGCCACCACCTCCTCCTTACGTCTATAGCTCTCCACCACCACCTCCCTATGTTTACAAACCTCCCCCTCCACCCCCATATGTATACACTTCTCCACCACCTCCTCCTTACGTCTACAGCTCCCCACCTCCTCCTCCATATGTATACAAATCTCCCCCTCCTCCTCCTTACGTCTACAGCTCCCCACCACCTCCTCCTTATGTCTACAAGTCACCCCCACCTCCTCCTTACGTCTACAGCTCCCCACCACCTCCTCCATATGTTTACAAGTCGCCACCTCCTCCTCCTTACGTCTATAGTTCTCCACCACCTCCCCCTTATGTTTACAAATCCCCACCTCACCCTCCAAGCTATAGCTATAGCTCTCCCCCTCCTCCAATATACTAAGCAAACATATATACATGGTGAAGTGGGTTCTGAAAGAAGAATGTTCTCGTTAAGTGATAAGCCATTGTATCCTTAAAATAAAACTTTATCTTCTTTTGTTTGTACCCATGTGTGTTTTTGTTGTTCCATTTCTGATTTTGATCTCTTATACTTTTTAAAAGATCAATGTTCTTGTCGGCTATACTAATAATTAATTATCCTTAATTATTTTTCTTGTCGGCTATACTAATTATGGTTAATGAATAAACTCAATATTTCTAAAGCTATTTATAGCTATTGAATGAACACAATTCTGCACATCTTAAAGTTATACAATCAGATTAAGTTTAATTAGATAACCTAAAATGCAAATACTGTGATGATTAATTGATAAATATTTATTCTTAATATGCAATTTGAGATCTAAGCCTCTAACTGCTATCTCAGTCTCGTGGAAATATTGAATGCAAGCCTGTGCACCCCAATAATTCCGCATGCATTTTACACGGATACCACTTCTCTCTACAATAGCCTTATGAAACGACAACAAGTTTAATCTGGAGAATGCTTTAACAATATTATAGGGTCATGTATGATTATGTCAATATTTAAAAACTTAAGGTGATAGATGATTTTCATGATCAAGATACCGTACATATCTGTTGTTAAAAAATATATTTGAAGAGTAATTCGCATGACAAGAATTTTGAACCATATATAAATGTATGCATCTGTTGAAACGATAATATTTGAAATATATTCGCATGACAAGAATTTTACTGAAGAAAAACAGCATCTGATATTGAAATTAGTATAGAAATGGTACGTACACGTACGAATTAAATCCTTTACCAATTCTCCACATATTTGAAACTTTTCTCTTCTGTTAAATACTTTAGAATAATGCAGCATGTGAAGCTGAGAAATTTTGAAACTAATCTTAATAATATGTAGATACACCTGGAGATATGACGCAGAAAGAGTTGTAAAGACAATCACCAAACAATAGTTGTCAATGTTTAGCCAAAAATAATGATAAAAAAATAAATGTCAAATGTTTTATTGTTTCTATCAAAACACTTTTACGATTAAACTTGTCTGTAATTTGGTGAAATGATAAAGCTAAATTCATAACTACAAGAAACCCAACAAAAAATTCATAACTACAACATCGAATGAACAAGTAAAGACTAAAGCTAACAATGAAGAAGAAGAAGAACACACACGTACTTCAAATTTTCCAAACAGATTTTTGCATTTGACATTCGTATAAGCTCCTTATAAAAACAGTCATATAAACGTCAAAAATCTTATAGTTAAACTAGGATCACATGAATGATCATTGGACAACTTGGTCACCAGCTACAGAAAATAATTTTTCTTTATCAGCGATGTAATGTTTCACTAAAAATCTACACTTTGGAGTATATCACTTGGATAATTGGATTATACGTTCCCGTACCTAGTACGGGTCTAATAGTGTACATAAATAATTTTCACGCAGGACCTGTGGGTATACATTGCAAAGTATAGTTGGTCAAAAGAAATTTAGATCGTAAAGTGTGGAAAACTTGTTTAGGATCATAAATGCCTCTTACGAACTATCGCGATTTCAGAGCTACGTCCGTATACACAACCATTTAAAACGTGAAAGGGAATGATTAGAAGAGGATTTCTTGCTGTGTTTTATCCTATGAATAGATAGCAAAGGAAAACAAGGAAATGCACCTACTCGCCATGAATAGATAAAAGAGGAAAACAATTGAATGTACCTACAAGAAAAAGAGAAATACAAACGATGGAGGGAAAAGAAGCCATTAGCCAGAAGAAAGGGGTGACACTTCATAAACAAAAAAGCTCTCAAGAAGATGGAGGAAAGTAATAATCTGATGAAGGTCGCTTACTCACAATTCTACTCCTTACCAAAACTATGCACTAGCTTATATAGTTTTTACAAAGACATATTGTAAACTGTATGGAACTAAACTAAGTATCTTACCATCACCAAACAATTATTTGTCAAGAACCAACAAGTTCCTTTAGCATGGGTTCTGAGCAGAATTTAAACCAAACTTTCTAACTACATACAAACCACACAAAAAGTGCTTTACTAAGAGAGAAGTTATAGTTCTACTAAATCTAAGCGATTGACACACGAAAATGATTATATCTCGTCGTTTAGACATTACTTAACTAAATAAGAATGCAAGTGTTGTCTAAATTACAAACGTTGTTAGAAACACACAGCATTTAATAAATTAATAATCTATAACTACACAAAACATACAAAAATGAATATAATTAAAAAGAAAACACTCAGTTAGATTTTTCTTAAGAATAAAATCTCACGCGTAACACGGGTACTAACCTAGTTATTTTTAAAACGGAAGTTTTTTTTTTATCTATATAGTCTTATGGTTGAAGTCTTGAAGATACTAAAGTAACTACTTGTATTTCTAAAGTTTCAAGCACTTGGGATTATAGATATATACTTGTTTGAGAAAACTACTTAAGAACATAGTATTTTACAACCTTCTCTGATTATTTAGAAAAACTTATTCCATTATTTTCCTAAATATATATATTCGGGTCAATTGCATAAGTTAAATAATTTGTTTTATTCAAAACACATCCCAAAAACAAGAGAAACAACACAAAATAATTGTTGACAGAAAAAAAAACAGCAAATTAAAAAGAAACAAACTAAAACAAACGAATCTCTTATCCAGAGATTTAATTATTTAAAAGAAAAACAAACGGAAAATGAAAAACATGATTCAGATGATGCTGATATTTTAATGCTTCTTCTTGCTTTTGACCTTGATCCTAGTATTAGATGTGGTTGTTCTCAGGCCCATTCATATTGTATCTCGGATCGTACACCTCCATAACATTGTTGTTATTGTTATATCCAACCATTGGTCCATGATTAGGCATAATTATATCCAACAGTTGAAAGCATTCGTATTCATCATGCTTCTTTGGTCGGAAAGATTGATGTTACCACCATGAACAATGTTGTTATAACTTCCACCATAATAATTCTGATGAGGAACAATTTCTTGTAAACGTTGGGGTCGTTGACTCTTCAGATCCATTTTTATCTTTTCCAGAGCAGCTATTAGACGAATGGTTTGACTGAAGTCAAGTTGATTCGGAGGTTTTTCCACCATTTCTGCGTTCCTTCTCTATCGTTTCTTAACTTTTCCAAAAATTTCTTCTCTTCTGTCAACGCTTCATTCTTCGCCAACTCCTACAATTAAAATTATTGTGCATAAGTAATCGAGTCATACTTTTATATGTCAATAAAACAAAAACATACCTATATAACTAACTACGTAAATGATCATACAAAATTTTGTGATTTGAATGCCAGTTATATGTCTATGCTTATTAAGGGATTTCTATTTAAAACATAATAATTCAATTCATCTACTAATTACCAATTATTTTTTCGGTAATATATTACATTGTGTAAGCTATGGTTTGAAGTATAAGACTTTTTAGAGCACTTATTTATATTCTTATAAAGACTAAAAAGTAAAAAAGTGTTAAAAATGGATGATTATCCATTAAAAATAAAATATTGATTACTTATTCTTGAAGTAAGTTTAAATAGATATTTTGGTTTGTTTAATATTTTAGTTCGACTATATATAGTCCTCCGAATGTAAAGTTTAAGACACACACAATATTGATCACAATCAATAACATCTTCCTCTCTCTATCTCATCTCTCGTCCCTCTCTCACCTCTCTCATGGGTCCCCATCTTTCTTTTTTTATTAAATAATAGTTTATAACATGTTATCAGCACGATTGCCTCTATACCCTAGATCTGTCTAGATCTATCTTATCCCGCAGAGGTAAGCCTAAATTCTGTCCAAATTTATTTAAAATTATATTTTGTCTATTCTGCCGGGAAGCTAGGCTATGCCTACTCCGAGCTGATCGTCATGGATGGCTCTGCCTCCTCGATCAAATAAATCTCTTAAAGCCGGGAAGCTAGGCTCTGCCTACTCCGAGCTGATCGTCATGGATGGCTCTGCCTCCTCGATCAAATAAATTAAAGCCGGGAAGCTAGGCTCTGCCTACTCCGAGCAAATGATCACATGGTAGACTATGTCTCCTCAGATCATATATATGGAGTGGTAGGGAAATCCTCCTCCGGAGTTGATGGTGAAAACCTCCTCTATGTAGCGGAGTTGATGACTATGTCTCCTCCCAGATCTAAATTTCTGTCTTTATATTATGTCTTTCAATTTATATTTTTTGTTATTCTGTTTAAAGTTTTCAAAAGAATTCAGTGGCCCTGATGGTGCCACATTTGAGATTAAGGATGGAGATACTTGTCTAGCAGACAGTGCTACGACACATACAATACTCAAAGATAAGAAGTATTTCTCCTATCTCAAAATGAAAGACTCCGCTGAAAGCGTGAGTACTATATGCGGTAGTGCAAAGATAATACTTGGCTCTGGGAGTGCAAGTTTTTCATTGCCAAGGGGAACGAAATTTGAAGTGCGAGATGCACTATATTCCCCGGAGTCTCACCGGAACTTATTAAGTTTCCGAGATATCCGCAAAAATGGATATCATATTGAGACTATAAACAAAAATGGCATTGAATATCTTTGCATTACAACGGAGAGGAAACAAACATTGGAAGAATTACCAATGATGTCCTCTGGTTTATATTGCACAAAAATCAACATGACTGAATCTTATGTTGCAGTAAACCAGATGTTTACTAGCACTTTTAGGGTGTGGCATGAAAGACTTGGCCACCCAGGTTCAGTCATGATGAGAAGAATTGTGCAAAATACGAGTGGCCACCCATTGAAAAATGAAAAGATTTTTCAATCGGGGGAGTTTTCATGTAAAGCATGTTCTCAAGGAAAACTCATAATTAGGCCCTCGCCAGCCAAAGTTGGGAATGAATCCCCTGTATTCTTAGAGAGAATACATGGTGATATATGTGGGCCTATTAACCCACCGTGCGGGCCATTTCGATACTTTATGGTATTGATTGACGCATCTAGTAGATGGTCAAATGTGTGTCTTTTGACCACAAGAAATATGGCTTTCGCAAGATTCATTGCCCAAATAATCAGGTTGAGAGCGCATTTCCCTGATTATGCCATAAAGAAAGTCAGGCTTGATAATGCTGGTGAATTCACTTCAGCAGCCTTTAATGACTTTTGTATGTCTGTGGGAATCGATGTTGAACATCCGGTTCCGCACGTTCATACGCAAAATGGCATGGCTGAGTCATTAATAAAGCGGTTGCAGTTAATTGCAAGACCGTTAATCTTGAGAACAAAACTCCCAATCACTGTATGGGGACATGCAATATTGCATGCGGGAGCCTTGGTTCAAGTGAGACCAAGTGCTTATAATAAATTTTCGCCCATACAGTTGGCATTTGGAAATATGCCAAATATATCCCATCTCCGGGTATTCGGGTGTGCGGTCTATATCCCAATAGCGCCACCACAGAGATCAAAAATGGGACCACAGAGGAGATTGGGAATATATGTCGGGTATTCGTCCCCTAGTATAATAAGGTATCTTGAACCGGCAACTGGTGATATGTTTACGGCACGATTTGCCGATAGCCACTTTGATGAAAATGAATTCCCTGCGTTAGGGGGAGGGTCGAGAGAATCACCAAATGATATCACCAAATGGTGTACACACTCTTTGGCTTATCTTGATCCTCCTTCTAATCAACGCGAGGTGGAAGTTCAGAAAATTATACATATGCAAAGATTGGCTAACCAGTTGCCCGATGTTCACAGATACGAAAAGGGTGACGAAGTCCTATATCCCCGCTGCTAATGCTCCATCAAAAATAGAAGTTCCTCATGAACATTTTGATGTGAATAGAGCAAGTGAACCGGTTCAATTAAAGCGCGGGAGGCCTATAGGATCAAAGGATAAATATCCCCGAAAGAAAAAGAATTGTGGAGTAAAGGTTCCTGATGAACCGAAATGTCTTGAAGACATTTCCGAACAGGTTCTTGTAGAACCTGATAAAGAGGTTCGTCAAGATGACGAACCAGAGACAGAAAAATTTGAGATTTCCATCTCCTTCGCCCAAAGTGGAAAAATATGGGCTAGAAGTGAAATAGATGATGATGGAATGTTCTCTTTTTCTGTAGCTAAAGAGATCGATCATGAAAATGATGATCCAGATCCAACTTCCGTGTCAGAGTGCCAAAAGAGGCCGGACTGGGAGAAATGGCAAATGGCCATGAAGAATGAAATATTCTCTCTCAATAAACGGACTGTAGTTCAATGGTCAATAGATCGCTTGATGTTAACAAGGATCCATTTCGACCTATTGAAGATTCTGAGAAGTACCTTACATGAGCGCCATCGGGGCACTTATGTATCTTGCAAATTGCACTAGACCAGATATAGCTTTTGCTACTAATCTGCTTGCAAGATACAGCTCATCGCCTACCAGAAGACATTGGAACGGAATAAAACATATATTCCGTTATCTTCAAGGTACGATTGAGTTTGGATTATATTATTCAAGAAACCCCGAGGTTGGTTTAGTTGGTTTTGCAGATGCTGGCTACTTGTCTGATCCGCATAAAGCTCGATCGCAAACCGGTTATGTTTTCACATACGGTGGAACCGCGATCTCTGGCGTTCCCAAAAACAAACTTTGGTTGCAACGTCTTCAAATTATGCGGAAATCATTGCACTCCATGAAGCATGCAGAGAGTGTGTATGGTTGAGATCTTTGATCCAACATATACAAGAAGCCAGCGGAGTATCTACAAAGAAAGAGCCAACAACCATATACGAAGACAATTCTGCATGTGTCACTCAACTCAAAGAAGGCTACATCAAGAGCGACAGGACAAAGCACATCCCTCCAAGATTTTTCTCCTACACTCAAGAACTTGAGAAGAATCAAGAAGTGGATATTCAGTATGTTCGCTCAAGTGACAATGCAGCTGATCTCTTCACAAAGGCGCTTCCTACTACAGTGTTCAAGAAGCATGTTCAAGTATTGGAATGCGTCGTCTTCAAGATTTGTGAAGAGAAGACATATCTATTTTCAGGGGGAGTTTGCTTTGCGGTACTCTTTTTCCTTTTCATGGTTTTTATCCCATTGGGTTTTTCCATGTAAGGTTTTAACGAGGCTACATAAACTTCAAACTGATAATAGATAATCAAGGGGTGTGTTAAAAATGAATGATTATTCATTAAGAATAAAATATTGATTACTTATTCTTGAAGTAAATTTAAATAGATATTTTGGTTTGTTTAATATTTTAGTTCGACTATATATAGTTCTCCGAATATAAAGTTTAAGACACACAACATTGATCACAATCAATAACATCTTCCTCTCTCTATCTCATCTCTCTCATGGGCCCATCATTCTTTTGATTATTAAATAAATAGTTTATAATAAAAAGAACGACTGAAATTTGACCGGAGTGAATAGATTGTTAAGACTTTGGACAGTTGTATTTGGACCATTTTCAACAAATTGAAAAGGATTTTGGTTATGATTTTTGAAACAGTCAATACAGATCTAACATCTGGACTACCAAACGAAAACACTTTTTGACCAGGTGAAAACACTATCACTCCAATCTCTACACCACATAAGGTGGAAAGTTCACTCGTTTTTTTAAAAAGATTTTGTCTTCTCTTTGAAAAAGTAATATGAAGGTTGAAACTCTTCTTTATTTTCTCTATCTTTACTTTTTGACGACCTCTTTTACTTCTTGTCATTTTCAAACAACTTATTAATAAAGAAAATAATATTTTTGATGTAAGTAAATGGAACGAATATGTGGTATTTATAGAGTGAGATGGTATCTACATGTATTTAATATTTAAATTATTATAAGGTAAATTTATTTTTTAATTTATTCTACTTTATATAGAATTCTTTTATTTCCACTTCAAGCATTCAATACTTATCCCTAAATTTATGTATAGCTGTAAAATTATCATATTCTTATCTATTATATCTCACAGTGACCTGTCAAATGTACCTATCTATTTCTCCAAAAATTATCATATTCTTACCTCTTACAGTACACTATGATCTGTCAAATATACCTATTTATTTCTCCAGTACCATGATAACGTTGTAATATAATTTTTGCTATTCAATATAATTATTTATTATATATTATGTCAAATTATTTGTTGATTTTTTTTCCGTAGATTTCTTTCTTATGTTGTCGTAAGTTCTCTTTTAAAAACTTATATAAATATTGTAACACTAAATATTTATTTTTATTGATTTTATATCGTCTATTTTTATTTCACATATTTATTTAATAAAAAAAGATTCAGATTTCGAAGCCGCTTTCTTCTTTTTCTTTATCCTATTTACCCTGTAGTTATGTTAGCAAAGCTGACCACCTGGCTAAGCTTGCTAGATTGTACTCTTTGCTGTTATCTTTTGTTGGTTGTTTTGTTCCGGGGTGGGTAACCACACCAACTCAAGTTTGAGTAATAGAATAGTCGTTTGTTGTCAAAAAAAAAAAAAAAAAAGGATTCAGATTATAATATTTATATTTTACCAAAATTTAGATTTCTAGAATTTAGAGATCGGATCTAAATATCATAAAATTTAAAACATATCATGCCATTTTTTTGTAATATATATACCATTCTGAACCATATGGTTTAACGTCTAAATTAAAAATCCAGGATCCAATATCGCCATTTTGGAACATTATATGTAAATGCAATATCGCTGTTTTGAAATATCATGTGTAAATCTTTTACAATATGCAAGGAATAGCAAAGGTTTGTCCAAATCCTTCATAGTAAAAAACAAACTTTATGATCATATGAATCAAAACTAATAAATAATATTACGAAAGCACTATTGACATATGAAAAAAAAACTAAAGGTTACATTCGAAAAAGAGAAAATTTGGAAGATTTCACTATTACAAGTTTTTGTTTTTAAAATTACCTTACTTTTTCTGTTTTGAAAACTATACATTTTAAAAGTGAAAATGACTAAATTATCATAATTAAAAGATTATAGTTACTTTAATAAATGAACTAAAAATAGATATGATAGGCTAACTTATGAAAGTTCATATGAATCAAAAAACTGGTTAGCTACCATTTGACATTTGTGAATTGAAAAGCACTAAGTTGAGAAAACTTTTGATTAGTTGCATGTGACTTCGAAATGGACTAAATTGATTCTTTTAGATAACACAGTGAGAGAAAATGACACAGAAGAACTGTGGACAAGGATCTACTCACTTGTGTAACTTTCAGGCAATACAAATTGTACAATTTTTTTCCGAGGTGTGTACAGTTTTGAGTAAATTTAGGCCCTAACTGGTAACTGAGAATTTGAGGGAGGCGGCTGAATTCTTTTTGAAATACACCAGTTAGAAAAAATTGAAAAATTGAGGAATTGTGGAATGCTAAGAAAAGGACAAAAATCACATAATGCTTTTGGAAATTATAATAAGTCTCACATTTGATATCTGATATTTATTCCACAATTTATTCAAAATTCACAGTCTAAAGTTATACAAAAATTTCATAGTGAAAATTATTGGAACACTAGTTTGGCATTGGTCTCACACTTTATGTAATAAGTTTACTAAATTCCACAATCATTTGTTTTTCTTTATTTTCATGTACATAATTTCTATGATTGATTGAAAATTACCAATAAAATTTGATGATTAATTATTTTACTATAACTTAAATTATTTGTAAATTTAACTAAACAAATATTTCATTAATTATTTCAGCAAATATACGTGTAACTATTTGAGATTTTTGATAAATTATTTTAGTTGTTAATAATATTAATTATTATATAAATCAAAATTCATAAAGTCTATATATTTTAAAAATATTTTTTATTTTATTAAAATTTATATATTTCACAAAGTTATGTTTTTATTTATTTTATCAATTTGATTAGGTAAATATTTTGTTATTATGTTATACAAATAATTTGTTAGGTATTTATTCTGTATTCATGAACATTCAGCTGTTACCATTCATATTACTAACTATTCAGCCAGATTCCGCAAAAAAACTTCATTTAGTTTCGCTAGATTCTGCATTCCGTAATATTCAGCGATTACCATTTAGACCCTTAAGATGCTCATTCTCCTGATTTGTGACCACATGAAAATAAAGTATATGAATTTGTTGAGTTCCAGTGAGATTTCTCATATAATTTTCTTGTCTGCGAGATATTGTCATTTACTCGGTAGCAAACATCTGAGAAGAGTATGTAGTATGTTGGTGGAAGTTGGCTAGGTTACTAATTTTCTTAATTTTCTGAAGTTATTAAAACAATGTCCTTTTGGATTTCTTGTCAAAAAATTTCTACGTGGTAGATGACGTGTCAAGCTGAGTCATTTCCATTAACAAAAGATCGGTGTTGACTAATGTGACGTTAGTTAATGCTCATTTTAGCCAAGCGGTGAAAAATTGGGGTATGGAGTGGATGATATTTTATAGTTAGGTCACGAATTGACCCGTTTTCCCGCGTTTGTTTAATAAACTGGCTTGCCTAGCTTACTTATTATTTTCTGCTCTTAGCTTACTTATTATTTTCTGCTGAATACTTGAAAGCTATGTAGATAAACCCTATTGAGATATGTAGCGCTTAATGGGACATAAGGCCTTAAACTCTAGTGAGTGTGCAAGCTAAGTCCCACATTGGAAAGTGGGAGGGACCTTGAACACTATATAAGGGACTGAGGCCTCTCCACCTATTGTTAATTGATTTTGGGTTGGATGCCAAGGAAAATTAACATGGTATTAGAGGGGGATCCGCACACTCTCACGACCCGGCCCAGAAAGGGCTTGACCCCATGACCCTAGGATTGATGGTCTGCGAGATTAATGGTTGGAAGGGCCATTATCTCGAGGGAGGGTATTGAGATATGTAGAGGTTAATGGGCCATAAGGTCTTAATCTCTAGAGAGTGAGTGCAAGATAAATCCCACATTAGAAAGTGGGAGGGACCTTGAACAATATATAAAGGATTGAGGCCTCTCTATCTATTCCCAATTGATTTTATGTTGGATGCCAAATAAACTTAACATGGTATGAGAGTTTAATCCGCACACTCTCACGACCCGGCCCAAAATGGGCCCGACCCCCCGACCCTAGGATTGATGGTCTGCGAGATTAATGGCTAGAAGGGCCATTATCTCGAGAGATGGTATTGAAATATGTAGAATTTAATGGGGCATAAGGCCTTAATCTCTAGGGATTATGCAAGCTAAGTCCCACATCGGAAAGTGGGAGGGACCTTGAACACTATATAAGGTACCGAGGCCTCTCCACCTATTGCCAATTGATTTTAGGTTAGATGCCAAGAAAACTTAACAAACTCTTATCAATGAAGCAACGAAACAACTATTTCAACCTTCACTGTATTGACGAGAATGCATTTTTTGGTATGTGATATCCCATCATCGAATTACAGTAGAAACTCTGTAAATTAATATTCGATAAATTAATAACTCCATAAATCAATAAAAATTTTCCGGTTCCAAACTAAATTTTTGATTCAAATTATCACTCGATAAATTAATAATTCACTAAATTAATAAAATATCATGGTCCCAGCATTATTAATTTGTAGAGTTTCTACTGTATGTCTCCTGCTAATTTAACATTGAGACCTCAACTTGGTCCATTTAGTTTGGTTAGTTTATCATTTTCTTGTATATATTAAGTTCTAGTATATTTTATCGTCTCAAAGTGATTTAAAAGTGAACATGTTCTGAGGTATAATCATCTCAACAACAGGAAAACATTTAATTATTAGTAATAGGAATTTTGAATTTCAGTTTTTATTTACAGTATTATCTTAAGTGTTTGATCAAATTAGGTTAAAAAGTAGTTTTACGTATTATAAATTTATAATGAGTAGAAAAAAAAAAAGATAGATGTGTATTTTTCAAATTTAGAAACATAAATAGGATATTTTTCAAAGAACTCAAAGACAAAATAAAGGCACTAGATTTGAAGCCCCGCGCAAGCGCGGGGTTGTTTGCGATAGTTTTTCTGTTTAATTTTATTTATACTTGTTGATTTGAATTATGATGGTTTTGTGTTAACTTTCATGTTTTGAGTTAACTCAACCACTAACACTAAAAAATATGAATAATTTGTTTTTATTTTAATTTATTAGGATATTAACATCCTGCTTTATCTCGAGTTTTCTATTTCTAAAATTTTATCATGTTATAAATATTATGTTTACTTCTATTAGACGTAAACATGTATATGTATTTGATTGAAGGTTAAAATTTATAAATATGTATATGCATTTGACTGAAGGTTAAAATTTGTAAACATATTCTTGTTTTTCACTACAATTAAATTTACATATAAAACTCCATTTCTATTTGTTTAGAAAAACAAACTCTAACTCTAATGTTTCATTAGCTTTCTATTGTCTTAATTAATTTATATTCAACTTTTTAACTTGTAAACACATTCTAACATTTTTAAGTAGGATAAATCCTTTGAATAAAAAATAATATACTATTTGAAGTTAAATATTTCTTTACTCCATCTCTATTTTATATTCCAACTTTTTGATAACTTTTAACATCAAATTATCACATACTTTCTATTAATTAATCAATTTATTTGTATATTTTTATTAAATATGAATAAATGTAAAGAAATATGAATAGTCATATATTTATAAATATTTTAAATACAATTTAATTTTTGTGCTGATGTGGACACTCTAGATGGAGAGAGCAACTCCCTAATTATATATAAGATACTATTTGGGGCGTTTATTTTTTGTGATCCATCAGACAACTAACCGTTTTATCCATATGCATTTTGCAATGTAAAGCTTCATAAGTGTTTATACACAGGTACAAATAAGATAACAGAATTAAGTTTACTTCTCATTGTCTTCTTAGATAGAGGACGTGTAGATTCAAAGACAAGAGATGTGGCGATGGAACAGACAAGTCAGGACTCGAAGTAACCATATATATTTAATATACTAAAGTCTAACACATATACAAAAACTGGTACGCACATCAACATTTTACGGAAAATGAAACCAATCTACGCTACTATACATTTCAGACTCCAAACTTCTGAAACAAGTATTTTGTATTCTATGTATTTTTACTCCAAGAATTCGAAATGTTACGTAGCCATTTAACTTCAATAGTGACATAAGCCATAAAGTATTAGGTCTTGGAGGACCGAGAATTGGTCAATGTTTACTTTCTTCATGTATCTACGTTATGTATAAGCTACTTAACGAAAATTCTAATTATATGCGTGCTTTTTTGACGAAATCAAACTTCCTAAACGTTAAATATTTTCTTGTTATGATTCAAGTTAAAAGATCTACAACAAGTATGTGAGCAAAGTCATTAATCTCTTAAAATGTCTCGTAACAGTCTCTTGCCAATCCTCTGTTTTGCCCTCGCCCTTAGCTTTGGCTTTGTCTCTTCACAAAGTTGTGGAAAAGTGTTTTTCAGTCGAAATGGTACTTACGATGTAAACCGTCGTCTCGTTCTCTCAACTCTTGCTTCCAACGTCAGTTCTCGAAACGGCTTCTACAACGTCTCCGTAGGACAAGGCTCTGGAAGGATCTATGCTTTAGGCCTTTGTATCCCAGAGACTGATCCAAATCTCTGTTCCGCTTGTATCCAAGCTGCATCCGACAGTTTATCACGAAACTGTCCGGACCAAACCGACTCATGGGAATGGAAAGCCGGCAGGACGCTTTGTTTCGTTCGTTACTCTAACGGGTTGTTTTTCGATCAGATCGAATTAGAGCCGTCACAAGCAATTTACACATCTTCTGGTAGGTTCCAAGGGAACATTACAGCTTATACCAACATATGGGACGCATTCATAAGCTCTATGATCAGCCGAGCCGGTCAAACTCGATACCTAGCCGATGTATCGCCTCGGACAGGTAACGATAGTTTTATATACTCGGTGATGCAATGTATTCCAGGGATATCCTCTGAGGAATGTGAAACTTGTCTTCGAGGAAGTGTCCGTGATTACCAGAGTTGCTGCAATGGGTTCATAGGAGGAACCGTACGTAAGCCGGTCTGCTATTTCCGCGGTTATGTTTGTGGTGTTTCTTGCGTTTGGCTTGGTTATTTGGAAAAGATCATACAGAACATCAAAACTTCAAAGTGAGTTTTTTTAATCAACTGCTCTAAAAATAGCTATTTTGGATTTCATATATCATAGTAACCTTACATATATGTTATGACAGCTGATGATGACATGACTAGTCCACAATCGCTACAGTTTGATTTTGCAACAATTGAAGTGGCAACTGATAAATTTTCGAGGACTAACAAGCTAGGTCAAGGCGGATTCGGTGAAGTTTATAAGGTATTTATATATGACTGCTTGCTTTACTTGAAAGCTAAGAAACAAGAAACTAGAATATTCATATGCACATTTGTAGGGAATGTTACCAAATGGAACAGAAATTGCGGTTAAGCGGCTATCAAGAAATTCAGGACAAGGCACACAAGAGTTCAAGAACGAGGTTGTGATTGTGGCCAAGCTTCAACACAAGAACCTTGTTAGGCTTCTTGGGTTTTGCTTAGAAAGAGATGAACAAATACTTATCTACGAGTTTGTTCCAAACAAGAGCCTTGATTATTTTCTCTTTGGTAATAAACAATACTCCCTCCGTTTCATATTACTTGTCATTCTAGAGAGAATTTTTTTTTTCATATTACTTGCCGTTTTGTGTTTCCAATGTAGATTAATTATATATTTTCTAGTTTTATCCTCATTATTTTAGTTTATTGATTATTCCTATCAAAGAAAACTAAGTATTAAATAAGGGTAAATAGCAAATTTAATGAGTTTCTTAATATGTGTGAAAATCTCTAGAATGACAAATAAAAGGAAACAGAGGGAGTATAACACTAGATTTAGTATTGTAAGTTTAAGAAATGTGTCTTAAAATTATCGTTTAATGCAGACCCAACAAAGAAGAGACAGTTGGATTGGAAAAGACGGTACAACATCATCGAAGGGATTACGCGAGGGCTTCTCTATCTTCATCAAGACTCAAGGCTCACCATCATACACCGTGACATCAAAGCTGGTAACATTCTTTTAGATGCTGATATGAGCCCTAAGATAGCGGATTTCGGAATGGCAAGGAATTTTAGAGTGGATCAAACTGAAGACGAGACTGGAAGAATTGTTGGAACATTGTTAGTATTCTACTATTCTCCTTACAGTTTGTTGAACATCAAATTTCTTTGATGAAATCTTACTGTTTTTGATTAAGATAAACATTGTTAAGCATTTTCATGTGTATAATTGCAGCGGTTACATGCCTCCAGAGTATGTGACGCGTGGCCATTTCTCTACCAAGTCTGATGTATATAGCTTTGGAGTATTGATTCTGGAGATTGTTTGTGGCAAGAAGAACAGTAGCTTCTATCAGATGAATGATGATTCTGGTGGCAATATGGTGACACATGTGAGCAAAAAAGTCAAATCAAAATCTTACTCCATTTTATTTGTGATCATCTTCTGAATTATTAAGTTCTCTTTTGGCAGATTTGGAGGCTTTGGAACAATGAATCACCCTTAGATCTCATTGACCCCACAATTAAGGAAAGCTATGAGAAGGATGAAGTCATTAGATGCATCCATATCGGATTGTTATGTGTTCAAGAGTCTCCTGCGGATCGTCCAGCCATGTCTACAATCTTTCAAATGCTTACCAATAGGTCCATTGTTCTACCTGTCCCTCGACCACCTGGATTTTTCTTCAGGGACAGGTCAAATTTAGACCCTTTAACCTATGGATCTGAGCCGGGGCATTCTAGATGCAACTCTGTTTCTTATTCTGTATTAACTCCTCGTTAAAATTCTTGTTTCTACACTCTGTAAATACTATATAGCAAATCTGTGCCATTTTCCTTGTGACACAAGGAACTTCAATATTCAGTTTATGCAAGGAAAATGGTACGTACTTGCTATAACGGAAATTATTATATACTGAAATTTTCTCAATTAGCTAATATCACCTATTGTCGTTTTATATTTATTCAAGATTTAGCTAAGATATTACCACTGTCACCATAATACTTGACTGTAACATACTAACATACGAAATAAATTGAGCCATCTGGTAGTGAATTAGGTTTACTAACGATCATGCGTTTGTAATCTGGTAGTGAATTAGGTTTACTAAAAAAAGTAAAAATAATTTGAGCCATCTTTTGTGGGGCCAATATATAGTCATGAAAACATATCCGTTACGACTAGTCCATACGGACCATACCGTTTGGCAAACTCTATATAAAGAAATTGAGACTCAGTTGTTTGAAGGTGATGTGTAATAATTAATAATAGTCTATCAATTTGGTTCTTAGTTTGGAAACTTCTTGACTTGTGTCAAAAGAAATAGTTGACTTGTGTAATAATTAATGCTTGGTTGACCTAAATTAGAAATATTCAATTATATTTTTTGGACCAAATCAATGTTCCCAAAACGCCACAATGGCTCTTGTAGCAATCCTTTTTCCATCTCGAGAAGGAGGAACAGCAAATTATACTTGTGGATCAGCATCGATCATCTTGTTGGTTTAAGAAGCGGAAACCCATAATGTTTATGTACTCTTCGGTGCCAAGACAGCGAGAGCAACCACTTAATCCATTCCATCCACAGCATGATGAGTAGAAGTCAGCTTAAGGTTTTCTCTTCTTGAAGTCAGTTGTGTAATGAATAATGAAGTGACTAAAGAAGGGAAACCCTTAAGCTGACTTCTACTCATCATTTTCAAAAAGCAGTAAAATTTTCTGAGGTCGAGAGCAAACTTGCTTTACGTAAATTAAAGGAAAACAAAAACAATGTAGAAAATTTGTTATACCTAGCTAAAGGAAACTAAAAAAATTGTGCACACCAATCTGATTAGAGGGAAATACAAACGATGGAGGGAAAATAAGCCATTAGCCAGAAGATTGGGGATACACTTCATAAACAAAAAAGCTCTCGAGAAGATGGAGGAAACTAATGTAGTATTGTCTACATTACAAACGTTGTCCGAAACACACATCATTTAGTTAATTAATAATCTATAACTACACAAAACACACACAAAAATGAACATAATTTAAAAGAAAATACTCAGTTCAATTTTTGTTAAGAATATAAACTCACGCCTAGCACAGGTACTAAGAGCATCTCCAACCATGCTAAATATGACATATATGCTATTTTGCCATAATTTTTGCTCCAACCCAATTGCATATGCTATTGCAAAATAGCATCATGCTATTTTTGCTTCTATATTTGGCATGAGATTATGCAATATGCTATTTTGCCATTGAACTTTTTTATTTATAAAATAGTCCTTCAATTTGTAATTACTTTTAATTTAACAGTTTAATTATATTGATTATGATTTATTTAAATAAATAAACAATACTCATAACTTTTTCAAAATATAAATAATATTTATTTCATAGAAATATAAAAACATAACCATAATAAACTTAAAATTTTATTTTTAAAAATACTGAAATTCAAAAAACATAAAACAATAGGTTAAAATCTTTGTTTTCTATAATTTTTATGTAATATGATGTATTTTGTTTTAATATTATAATAAAAAAAAAAAATATAATTCTGGTTGTTTTTGCAAAAAAAGAAAAACAAATGATTCACTTTGTAAAATTTGAAGAAATCAAGTAGTTTTAACAATTAATAATAAGTTGGAAAAAAATTATAGCATGATATATGGCATGAGGGGTTGGAGAGAAACCCAATGCTATTGCTATATTTTTGCCATTTGCAATAACATATGGCATGAGGGGTTGGAGATGGTCTAAGAGCATCTCCAACCTTATGCTAAATATGGCATATATATTATTTTGCCATAGCATTTGCTCCAACCCTATTGCATACGCTATTGCAAAATAGCATCATGCTATTTTTGCTTCTATATTTGGCATGTGATTATGCAATATGCTATTTTGCCATTGAACTTTTTTATTTATAAATTAGTCCTTCAATTTGTAAATATTTTTAATTAACAATTAATTATTTTGATTATGATTTATAGAAACAAATAAACAATATTCATGACTCTTTCAAAATATAAAGAATATTTATTTCATGGAAAATAATATAATAACATAACCATAATAAACTTAAAATTTATAATAGTAAAAAATAAAAAATGTTATAATTGTGGATGTTTTTGCAAAAAAGAAAAACAGATGATTCACTTTGTAAAATTTGAAGAAATCAAATAGTTTTAGCAATTAATAATAAGTTGGAAAAAAAAATAGCATGAACCATTGGAGAGAAACCCAATGCCATTGTTATGTTTTTGCCATTTGCAATAAGATATGGCATGAGCTAGTGGAGATGCTCTAACCTCGTTATTTTAAAAAGGAAGTTATTTTGTCTACATATAGTCTTATTGTTGAAGATACTAAAGTAATTATTTGAGTGAATTTAGGAGGACTCTTGGTAGTCCTCACTGCTTTATTATTACTACAAATGAGACCTCGGTTATGTACTTGCTTGTTTCGATATATGTACGTGTAACAGTAAGTATGTAACTCCATAGTTGTTTATTAACACGTTTCATGGGAAAATTAGCGAAATATATAGGTCATATGGTGTTGTGGAACAACATGTTCAAATTTCGTTAGAAGATAAAGAGATGGCTTTTCTTATACATAGAACAAGAGGTTACAAAACTAAAACTGTTTCTAAACAAATAAAGAAATCACAAATTTCGTTACAAGAGAAAAAAAGATGAATCTTTGATCATATCCTTAAACTTTGAAAGAGAGTTTTCTACTTTGACGATCCTTGATTTAGCTCTCTACCTGCTTGACTTTTTCAGATTTGTAAATTCTGCAAGAGACGCACAACTTTGTATCTAGCTTTGGCTTTAGCTCTCTTCACTTGAAGTCTCTCCGCAAATTTCTCGTTCCAAGCTTTCCTCGGCACCATCTTCCTCAAAAGCTCAGGTCGACCTCTCACGAAATTCTCATGCGCAAACTCGAATCTCCCGATTCTTTGAAAGCGATGATAACGTAGCTCCGACACAAACTCTGAGAAGTTCCGACCAAACTCGGCGGATTCGGGCAGAACTCTTCTACGAAACTCGTCGACATCACGAACGACGAAACTACTGTTGTTGTTGCTCCACGAGATGATTTGATCCGATGAACGATCATTCACAACCGAATACAGTTGGATGAAGAATGTATATGATCCCGTTGGTAAACTGTGAGTCATCCTCAAACCCTAAACTAACACACTCTTCGTAATCAGAAACCCTAAATTGTTTCTATTTGTTGGATTTTCGGAGAACACAAACTGATCAGAGACGAAGAGAAGTTTTATTTATAGATGAGGTGTCAAAGCAATTGACGCTCACGATCTTAAAATTCTTAATATCATCAGGTAGATTTTAACGGTCAAGATTCGGTTTACAAAATTTCCTTTTTTTCCCAACTATAAGCAATTGACTTGACGTGTCATAGCGGCCGAAGTGTTCAATTCTTCACTTTAGTTGACTCGGTTCATATATGGTTTAGGTAAACCGGCTGGATAATATTTTTCTATTAGAAGCGTTTTTTATTTTTTATTAAATATATATATATATTTTATTATAATAACGGGTAAAAGGGGCTATGACCGGGGTCATACAAGTTTTAAAAGCGGTTACAAGCAGGAAAAACAAAAAGGAACATATAATGATCCACAAACATTGAATCTTCCGCTTCGATTGACTTTAGTTATTAGCATAAGGGGTCCTTTAGCCATGTCCACCTCTGTTTCCGCGACCTCGACTTCCACGTCCACGACCCTTTGTTGCCAATGCATCTCTTTTGCCTTTGTTGATGGTTTATTCGGTCTATCTTTAAGAATTCGTTTTCCATAAGGTGTCATGAGGTCTATATGGAATCCGTCTCTTTTTCTGAATCTGAAGAATCTTCTTCTTCTTCTTCTTCTTCCGGAGATTTCAACATGGCAAACTTGTTTGAACCTAAAACAGGCTCAGCTATTTCACTACTTTCTTGTTGAATTGATGAGACGGATGTGTTTTCTTGCACACAAAGCAACCCAATGTGTGTATGCACTTCATGGCTTCATGACTTGGCCCGCATCGTAAATCTCTTTTTCCAGTAATGTTTCTATTGTCTCCGTTATTTCACCTTTTTGGCAAGATGAAGAAACAATGTTTGTTTATGTTCTGTTTTACCTAAACAAAAATGCGTTTTTAGCAGACAATAGAAACAATGTATGTAAAATTACTAAAAGATAATATTCTATTACCAACACATGTAGTCCATCTAAATGAAAAGTGGACATCCAAAATGAATCGCATAAAGTGTATAAAATTAGACAAAAGTAATTTTCCCACATCAAAATTTGTATGTAAAGTTATTTCTATAAGATAGAGAAGTAAAGTCAAGACTGGTGGCAAGATGGAGGAGCTATCCTATGATCCTATCAACACCACTCACACGCACCAAGTTAACTTCAATCGGATTAATCGGTTTTGATCTTCTTTTTTTTTTTTTGCAGTAAAACATTGGTTTTGATCTTTACTATATATATTTTTGCTCTGTTTCGTATGTGTTGAATTAATCAGAAAAATCACAACAGTATATATTTTAATTATTCTTTGGCTTCTTTGAAATATTCTCTATTTATGTTTAAATTGATACAAATATAGTCCATTTCAAAGTTAGATTACTACGAATCGAATGTTATTCTCTTTTAGTAGGAATCAGTACTTTTTCAATTCGCAAATGTTAAATGGTAGCTAACCGTTTTGAGATTTATATGAACTTTCAATCCCAAGTTAAGTTCGCCTATCAAATAATTTTCTTTT